TTTGAGGAGTGAAGGCACCAGAAGGTAAACATAGTCGTAACTGTCTGCCTTTCTCTTTATGCAGGTCTGACAGGAGGGTAAGAGGTGGTTGCCATGGTGATGGTTAAAGAGGCATCTCCAAATAAGGAGATGCCAAGAAAGTTGCGGAAGAAGAAACGTGAGCCAACATCAGACCTAAGCCCACCCTAAACTGTTTTGACCAATCACCTTAGTATCCTGTTTATCACACAAAATGAAAAGTGTTCACTTCCTAGGCGTGGCACCTTTTGTCTCTGAGCCAGAGAGAGGAGGTCCATGGTGCCATGTAAAACTAGTTTGAAATTCTAACCGTTTTGTTTATAAATTGGGAAAACTTATAATAGGAGCATATTTGTCTTCTCTCTCATAAAAAACCCTACATTAGTCATTGCTATTTGTTCAAAATTCTCCATTACAGGATTAAAAATAGGCACGAGGAGCATAAACTGGACTTTATGCAGATGATCTATTAGTATTTATAGCTCAACTGAACAATTCCTTTCCATTTTTTTCTTGCACGCCTCAAATCATACAGTGCAGTTTCGGGCTCTAAAATTAATTACACTAAGAGTGAAGCATTTCCAATTAACATGACAGAACAGATCAGATACTGCCTGGGTAGTTTCAAATACCTCGGTATAACTGCTTGTTCCTCACTTGACAGAATCTACCAAGAGAATTATATGTCATTAATTCATGAATCTAAAGCAGAGCTGCAGAGGTGGCTGGATTTTCTTCTCTCCTTAATTGGTAGAGTTAACACAATTAAAATGAGTCTTTTACCTAAATGTATCCACGTGTACTTTCACTGTATTCCCTTAAAGGTACCAACCTAATTTTTTAAAGAATTAAAAAGGGCAATATTTTTATTCTTATGGCAAAAAAGGTATGTGACCAGACTTCCCCTGTGGTGTGATTATTTACATCTTTGTTTTAGACTGAAAATAATTCCACGGGGAAGCTTTCAGTTAGAAAAATGTAATAAGAAAGCAATGCTTTAAGTCCCTACAAATATTGATCAGAACAGCTCACAACCCGGGGCTCTGATCTAAGAACTGGGTTAAGGGTTTCACTAGTCAGCTGCTAAGTTCCATCCATTTTCTTCCGCTTATGTGGGGCCGGGTCGCGGGGGCAGCAGCCCAAGCAGAGAAGTCCAGACCTCCCTCTCCCCAGCCATCTCCTCCAGCTTGTCCGGGGGAATACCAAAGCGTTCCCAGGCCAGCCGAGAGATATAATCTCTCCAGCGTGTCCTGGGTCTGCCCCGGGGCCTCCTCCCGGTGGGACATGCCTGGAACACCTCACCCAGGAGGCGCCCAGGGGGCATCCTTGTCAGGTGCCTGAACCACCTCAGCTGGCTCCTTTCGATGTGGAGGTAGATCGACCGGTAAACTGAGAGCTCCGCTTTTACACTCAGCTCTCTCTTCACCACAACACTCGCTCCCTTCTCCCGTCACTCGTGAACAAGACCCAGAGATACTTAAACTCCTCCACTCGGGATCAGGAACTCGTCCCTGACCCAGAGTGGGCATTCCACCCTTTTCCCACTGAGGACCATGGCCTCAGATTTGGAGGTGCTAATTCTCATTCCCACCGCTTCACACTAGGCTGCGAAACGTTCCAAGGCGAGCTGGAGGCCATCACCCGAAGAAGCCAACAGAACCACATCATCTGCAAAAAGCAGAGATGAAATCCTGAGACCACCGCTCACCACTAGGTTCGACTAACGGACGAACACTCCTCTCCAGCACCCTGGCATAGACTTTCCTAGGGAGGCTGAGGAGTGTGATTCCCCGGTAGTTGGAAAACACCCTTTCTTAAAGATGGGGAACACCACCCCGGCCTGCCAGTCCAGGGTTACTGCCCCTGATCTCCACGCAACATTGTAGAGACGTGTCAACCAAGACAGCCCTACAACATCCAGAGCCTTCAGAAACTCGGGGTGGACCTCGTCCACCCCAGGGGCTCTGCCACCAAGGGGTTGTTTAACTGCCTCGGTGACCTCGCCCCCAGAGATTGGTGGGTCATCCCCTTCGTCCCCAGACTCTGCTTCCACCACGGAAGACGTGCCAGTAGCTGCTAAGTTAAATGATAAAAAGTTGTTAACACTTTACTTTTGGACACACAGAAGTCGCCTTTTAAGTCTCACAATGGAAACAAGCCTTTCTGTTTTTCTATCTGGGCAGTATCCTTTGAAGGCATTTCATACATTTTCACTGCTATGCAGATGATGCCCAGCTATATCCATGAAGCCAGATGACACAATTAATTAAACTGCAGGAATGAGACACTAAAGACCTGGATGACCTATAATTTCCTGGATCTACACTACCAGTCAAAAGTTGGACACACCTTCTCATTTAAGTTTTTCTTTATTTTCATGACTATTTACATTGTATATTTTCACTAAAGGCATCAAAACCACGAATGAACACATAATGCAGAATTTTATATTTTAGACTCTTGAAAATAGCTGCTCTTTGCTTTGATTACTGCTTTGCACACTTTTGACATTCTCTCAATGAGCTTCATGAGGTCGTCATCTAAAATGGTTTTCCATTAGTCCTGAAGGAGTTCCCAGAGATGCTGAGGACTTGTTGGCCCTTTTGCCTTCTCTCTTCACCCCAAACCATCTCGACTGGGTTTAGGTCAGGTGACTCTGGAGGCCAGGCCATCTTGCACACCACAGTTGTGAATAAATCCCCAACAGCGTCACCACCAAAGCACCCCAACACCATCACACCTCCTCCTCCATACTTCACAGTGGGAACCATGCATGTAGAGACCATCCGGTCACCTTTTCTGTGTTGCACAAAGACACGGCGAGTGGAACCGATGACCTCAAATTTGGATTCATCAGACCAAAGCACAGATTTCCACTGGTCTAATCTCCATTCCTTATGTTTCTTGGCCCAAACAAATCTGTTCGCTTGTTGCTTTTCCTTAGCAACAAGCAGTAGTGGTTTCTTAGCAGCTATATGACCATAAAGATCTGATTCATGCCGTCTCCTCTGAACAGTTGATGTAAAGATGTGTCTGCTACTGGAACTCTGTGTGGCATTTATCTGGTCGCTGACTTGCAATTTCTGAGGTTGGTGACTCGGATGAGTCAGCTCAACAGCAGAGGTGACTCGTGGTCTTCCTTTCCTGGGGATGTCTTTATGTGAGCCAGTTTTTTGTGCACTAAAATCCCCCACAGTCCCGCGATGCATTGTCCTACAAAGCCAAGGCGAATGTTCCTCGTGTTTGAAAACAGCTGAGCAATTTCACTTCAGAGCAGGGACCACGGAAACCTGGTCCCAGGAGGACAAGAAGAAGCCTCCCATCTCCGTCTCGTCCCTCCACCAGGCTCGTCCATTCACAGCTCAGCTTGTGCTCCACCCTCGAGCTGTGCACCTCTGCCCTGCTGTCGATCACATGCGTTATTTCCCACTGTCGCCATTTCTGCTGTCAGGACTGGGTCGGCATCCTCACACGAGCCGTCTCGCCTGACAATCGGGCGACAGTCCTTCCTTCACACGCTTGGCTTCCACGCATTCCTTCCTTTTCATATCTGGGCCTACCCTCTTCTTTATCAAGTCCATTTGACAGCTAGTAGGCCGCAGTGGATTAAAAAAAAATCATACAAAAACACTAAAAATGTCCAATATAATCCAAATAAAATCTACGCTCACAAATAATACCAGTTATAAAAGACAAATACAAATTTCCATTGTGTGATGCACACTATCTCTAAAATTAGAAACATTCTGTCTCCGAGTGATTTAAATGTAACAATTTTACAATCTTTCTCCTCACATACAAAGTCTTGAATAATCAGGCCCATCTTTACCTCACAGTAACATATCACCCCAGAAGAGCAATTCACTCTCAGACTGCTCCCTTACCTTTGGTTCCTAGGGTATTTAAAAGTAGAATGGGAGGCAGAGCCTTCTGCTCTCAGGCCCCACTTCTGTGAAACCAGCTCCCAGTTTGGATTCAGGAGACAGGAACCCTCTCACCCTCGCCCTACTTTTAAGATTAGGCTTAAATTTTCCATTTTGATAAAGCTTACAGTTATGGATGGATCAGGTGACCTTGAATCCTCCCTTAGTTACACATCAATTGCTCTATGCTGCTGGAGGTTTCACATGACACACTGAATGTTTCTTTTTCACCCTTTTTACACTCGCTATGTGTTTATACATCACGCTATATTTAATTGTTAGTTTTTATTAATCTCTAGCTCTCTTGTGTCTTTTGTCCTTTCTTCTTCCTTCCACCAGAACCAGGCCGTCCCGCCCTGAGCCTGGTTCTGGTGGAGGTTGCTTCCTGTTAAAAGTGAGTTTTTCCTTCCCATTGTCACCAAGTGCTTATTCATAGGGGGTTGTGTGGGGCCACTCTCGGTACACCAGCTTCCGCTCACAGTCCAAAGACACATATGGGTTTGGGATAACGTGTGAATTGTTGTCTGTCTTTATTTGTGGGTGCACCCTGCCTCTCGGCCGTGATAGCTGGTACAGACCACTCCATTGATTTATGTGTTTATTCTTGGCACAAAAGCCTTAATATATCTTTGCACTAACCAACACTGCCTCAAATGACATTGCCTAAAGACATTTTATAAAAACATACACAGCAAAGTCTGTTTACGTAAACGTTTACGAGTCAGAATCAGAATGCTTTATTAATCCCAGAGAAAATTATGTAAAAGCAAATATAATAATAATATAACAATAATGTTTTTGGGTTTTTTTTAGCTATTATTAAAAATAGCCAATATCCAGTTCAAGCTATCTGTTGGTAACATATTTATTTATTTGACTGTATTTGGAAGAAGTTGGATTTCCCATCATCCCTGAATGTACCATAGTCTGTATGGAGACAGCGAGCAGCGGCGGCTCCCAGCGGAGCAGCGCTGCGATTGGCCGGGCCAGCGAGGAGGGGGAGGGCTTTGTCTCTCCTCCCCTGCCTCTGCTCTCCTCCCATCCTAGAGGACAGAGCGATGCGGAGACAATAGGACGCAGAGCCGGAGGAGGCTGCAGGATGCTCGACACCACATCCACCGACGCTGCTCGGAGGCTTCTCGCTGGACACCGATATCAGACGTTTCTCTGGGCTCACCTGGTCTTAGTATGTGCTCACATCTCCCTGTGTGTTTACCAGTAGCAGCCTGGGCCGACAGGGCGGACTTCACAGTCTCCATATGGGTATCAACTGAAAGGTGAGTAGCGAATTAAACCCGGGCTGACCGTTTATCCTCACCTGCACCCTGACCGACCAGGCTCCGTTACTGTGTGTGCCGCTATGATGTGTGCATGCAGTGCATCATTAGGCCAATGCCATACAGCAGCGTTCACACTGAAAACAAAACTGTGATTTCTTCTCTATGTTGTATGTACATTTTCTAATGTCATTGATCTCTAGCAAGCAACAATATCATTGATTGTAAGCATTTTAGGTTGTTTACAGTATCGGATTGTGTAGTGGAATTTGTATTATTGATCACAACACAACATCTAAAAGCCTTCCCTCACCCCCACTATGCATCCCGTGTTTTTGCAGGAGGAGGAAGGGGTGGAGGAGGGGGGTTGGCAGTCAGGTATCTGCAGGAGCTAATGCATGTCTGTTCCTTTCCGCTATCTAAGCTCTGTTACACTAAAGTGACAGTGGTTGTCCCTTCAGTGAGTGCTGTCTGAGCACACACACTGCAGGTGACGATGCAGACCTGCTGAAAGCTGAAGCCTTGGAGGATGATACAAGACCAGAATGTTTACATTCTGACTGGTCTACCTGCTGTCTATGTTTGCTGGATTATACTGGGCAATTTTGGGGACTTGCTTAGAAAAATGAAGGGTTACACCCTATAGCCAATCTATACAAGCCGATCTAAGCCATTATTTTGGATAAATCATGTAATCAATGCCTCAATGCTCATCCACAGTGCCTATATATTGTGTTGACGAGATGCCAGCTGAACTTGAACTAGGGGCCGGGTGGAGAGCTGAGTGAGCACATACCTTTAAGTAGACCGAATAACCCGGATGAGGAGGTGATGGGAAGGAGTTTAAATAATGATTCTAAAGAACAGGGACTGGGTTGACTGGCTTGAAGATGCGGGTAGGACGACTGATGGATAAGACTGGTGAATTTGAATTAGTTGAAGATGGAAAATAACCAGTATTACCATAAGGATTTTGAGAGGATAGATCTTCCTTATTCAATTTTGATTAAAAAATCCAAATACCAAGTTAAATTTTGTTTGCTAAATATGAAGATGAAGCCCTGAATATAGCCTAGTTAGCATAAATACTAATTAAGCTAGTTGTTGCTGCCGTCTGTTTTACGCACCAATGATATTGGTGAGGTTTTTCAGTCAAATTCATCGCATCTGCTCTGTTAAGAGTTTTCAGTGATCTCCTGTTTATTGTTGATGCTAGTTAATGCTGTACTGTAATGCTGTTACTGGATCTTACCACTGTGTTTGATACAGTGGACTACAACATCTTGAACACTCATTGTGTTGTTATTTGTGGGATGGCTTTGAACTGTTTTAAGTCTTATTTGAGTTGTAGGTGGTTTTCCATTAGCATTGGCAGTTATTCTTCTAAAACTACCCCCTTAACCAGTGGTGCACCTCAAGGTTCCATTCTTGGTCCACTTCAGTTGTACACACACCTTTTGGGTTTATTTTTTTTAAAAACCCATCATGTTCCTTACCACTTTTTTGCAGATGAAACCCAGATTTACCTCCCTCTTAAACCCGTCTCTCAACCCTGTGATAGTAAAACTGAAATTTTAGTGATTCCTGTGGCGAATAAGCAGCCAGTTACATTTTTCACTATCCCTTTAGATCTTCAGACTCATTTCTTAAACCTCAGGTTTAAAGTCTGAGTGTTATCTTTGATTCATCTCCTTAATTAGACAGATCACAGCAGTTGTTATAGCCAGCTTTCTCAAATTAAGATATTAAATATAGTTAAAAACTTCTTTCTTTTCATGATCTAGATTGGATTACTACAAGTTATTATATGTTGGGTTGAGCAAAACACTTAAAACATGTCTGCAGCTGGTTCAGACTGCAGCTGCTAGACTCCTGAAAGATACACGGAAGCTTCACCCATTCTTAAACTATTACACTGGTTTCCTCGGAAGTACAGGATTCATTTTAAAATATTGTTGCTTGCGTGTAAGTGTTTACACGGGCTCGCCTACGTTAACTATCAAATCCTTTAGTTGTCCTATGCCTCTCACTTAGGTCTGTCGATCAGCACCTTCTAGTAATTCAGAATTCCCAACTGGCTCGTACAGGCGACAGAGCTTTCTTGTCCCCCAAACTCCAAAAATAACCAGCAACATATACTTTTTTAAATTTCTCCAAGTGCATCTCTTTTACTTTTAGTATTTCAATTTGTATTATTTACTGTTCTTTTTGATCCCTTTTAAAAATATTATTATTATTTAATTTTTTTATTAGTAAAATTTGCTTGATTTTGATTTCAGGCCTTTAAAACGTTGTAAATAAAATCTGTAAAATCAAACTAAGGTGTAAATATCTACTGCTGAGGAGCTGTAATATAAGTAGGTACTAGAGATTTTGGCAACCACATTCTGTTTTTGTTCACTTTCCACACACACACACACACACACACACACACACACACACACACACACACACACACACACTGACTGGTGTTTTGCTGCTGGCCTCCCTCTGCTCCCTGCCAGTGCACATTTACACACAGTCACTTTGATTATGTGCGTGTGCAGCAGTCAGCAGCTTTTTTTTAATAAATAGAAGACAAATCAAACGTGTCCAGAACATTTAAAGGCGAAATATTTTTGTTGCTGCAGTTTCTCACGTGGAAGGCAGGAATGTGTTTCTTCGCAGCACATCTATCAGGAGAATAGAAACAGTCACTGAAATGCAAAAAAAATTAAGCTGTTATTGTTGGAGGGCAGCGCGGCTGCATCAGTGGGGGTGGACGTGGCTGTGATCGTTGCCTTGGCTCGTCGAATGTGCTCCGGCTCGGCCCGCTGGTTGCATAAGCAGTCTGGGATTTAGTCAGCTGCGGCCCCTGGTCGCTGCTCTGTTTCCACAGAGTGTTAAACCTGGTGGCACAGAGGGTCAGTGTTGAGCGAGTGGGGAGGGCTGGGGGGATGTGGTCAGCTGAAAGGAACATGCTGTATTTTGTGTCTGTTCCCAGAACGTTGAATTTTGCAGGCTGTCGGAGAGAACAGTCTGCAGGAAAGGAGGACTAACACAAGCATCAATCTGTCAACTGACTTTTTAGGTTTAGCATAAAACTGTCCCAAACTAGAGACCAGACAATCTGAATTTACCATGACTCAGGTTAGCATCTTCACATTGTATAAAAAGAACCAGAAATATTCCTTTCACAATAATACACTGGACTCAGCGTGTGCTTCTTATTTGTGCTTGTCGAATAATTTATTAAATATTAAACAATTATAGCAATTGTTGACGATTAATTCGCTTTGAGATGAATGGATCAATGATGTGCTTTGGGGAAAATGAACAATGTGTATAATAATGTGTAGTGGAGCGAATGTTGAAGATGATTACAACAAATAATTAATATGTGAAAGGCTTATTTCAACCTTAGATAACTTTGTATAAACTTACAGTATGTGGTATGCAGTTGCCCCTAACTTAATACATCTGTTTATGTATTTATACTCCTAAACACCAAAAAGTACAACAACAGTGGTGTGAGACAGAGGCTGCCAATCTCCTTCACCTCATCCTGAAAAGTTTCCCAGCATTATTTGAACGTGAGCTGCAGGGAAAATACCAAATTTGAACCCTTTTGATCATCTCATTTTACCCATCCAGCTGCTCTGCAGTTGTTCCTACCAGCGATGCAAAGCACTTGCGACACGCAGCTGCTTTTGCATCGAGTTGTTTCTATTGTTAAAGGTGAGCCTATGTGATGCACTCACGCAGTGGGACTGCAGACTTCCCCTCCACACAGAGAGCCGACATTTATCCTGGCCTGATGACTCACTGAGCTACACGAGTCTTACTGCTTCTATACAAATACAGATGCAGTTTTAGCTGTGGTAAACGAAAGCACACGCATACAGCAGCAGGCCAAAAAACACACAGGTCTATAGAAGCTGGAAAAGGAAAAAAAGACCTGAAAACAGAGTGTGTTAGATAAAGGCAGAGTGTGATGAATGCTGGGATTGTCTGGTCTACACACACACGCACACACCATCTTGATGTGAATATTAAATATATAAAGATGCAGAATATTCTGAACTTTGAGACTTTGACCTACATCACAGACTTTTTTTTGCACATACTAGCTGGGAAAACTTAAGCTCTAGATCTGCTAATAAGAGCTGTGGGAACAGTTTGAAGATCACTGCTGCAACTAACCACACAAGCTGCTGTACCTTGTCAAAATTTTCCTTTTACTTTGATTTTATGAAACCAGTTTACTCTCAAAGCTGAAATTCGCTCCGTGCTCTCTCCTGGTTGTGTACACCTAATGAAATCGGGCTGGAAGTTTGGCTCCATTAAACGAATTGGTCGAGCACAGTGGAAGTGCGTTAATCCGGCTATGCTTAAAATGATTAGGGACTCAATCTAGTCAAGATCATCAGACCTAAGGCAGAAATCAATTCAGTATTAATATTGCTTTCCAGGGCGTCCTGAGTAAAGAGGTACGAAATAAGTTAAATCACATTAGCCAGTCGTTAAAGGTCTGCAGACTGTGCTGGACAACTGAACCAGTACAATGGCATTAATAGATACGGGTTCAGGAGATGATTACTGGGCCTTTTTGTCAGCCTGGGTCATATGTGCTATCTTCACAGCCACTGTAATTCCCATTTTTCTGAAGATACACTTGGTGCCAAATAGTGTGCATGTTTCCTCCTTTTTTGCAACATGTTTACTGCGTCCACAACTTTAGTTTTTTATCCATTTAGATAAAAATTAGATTCACCCATTAACTCACCATGCATGTCTGTGGGGGGAAACCAAAAAGCTCCAGAAAAGTCCAAGCTGCCCCGTGGAGTTGAACCCAGAAACGTCTTGCTGTGACGCGATGGTACAAACCACCACAGCACGTCTTTTTGCATGTTTAAATCTAGTTTGGTTTTATTCAAACAGTGGCACTTTATATTATAAAGGATAGAACTACAACAATGTGAGAAATACAATCCCTTTCCATCTTTGTGGTAGCTGTTAGCATCTTTAGGACTCATTAGCGCTTGCTAACTGGTGCTAATTAGCTCTAAGCATTGCAGAGTGTCAATATCTGTGGCTTATCTGGGTTCCTCATCTACAGAGAGATAACACTGTTAGCAACACTTAAATCACTATATCACTATTTACTCATAACTGTAATTCTTGTTGTAACTAATTAGTTATTGGAAAATCAGTTTAAACTGTTTATTCAGTTATTTAGCGCTTTTTGATGGAGCTAAATGGAAAAAAAATGGAAAAGTTCAAATTTACTGCCCCAGTTTTCACTCAAAACAGCTAGCTTGGTTGAATTTGCAGCTTTAAGTAGTTATTATTGACTGAATATACATTGTACATTTATGAATGTTATCGTGATAACATACCAGAGCCAAACGCACACTCAGAAAAAGAACGAGGCACAATCCTGAAGTGCTACAGTAAGCACTTCTGATCCACGGCAGAAACAAATGGTCTCTTCTGTTTACAACTCCCTCCTGTGCATGTGTGTTTTTATCACATGCACCCAAGAGCTTTTATTTAGAGGAGAGAGAGAGATACAGTACATCCTCTCTGCACTGCCATTTATCACCCAAACTGACTCATCTCTCCTCACCTGCTGCCGTCAGCCTCTCTTCCTGTCCGCTTCACATGCAAAAAAGATTACACTCCCACAGAGAACGCAGAGGGCTGTGGAGGGGCGACGGGGTACTTAAAGTAGCACATTGCTGCGTGTGTGTGTGTTTGATCACATAGTTGGCAACTTAACGTTGTGATGCATACAACTGAATGTTACTTTCTGCATCTAAAACCAGACTGTGCAATGAAATGTTATCCATCTGTGGATGTGTGCGGAGAATATGAGATATGTGAAGTACATGGAATGGCAGGCGAGTGTGTTGATGATGAGGAGGCTGCTGTAGATATAAAGCCAATCCAAGTGTCTGCTCATATAGAGTGGCTGCTTTCCAGCACCTCGGGTTGTGTAACGAGTGTGTGTGTGTGTGTGTGTGTACGTGTGTGCGCGCTCCTATAGTTCCTCCACATTCGCCTGGAACAGTGAGGGTCAGTGCTTGGCAGGTCCAGCCGCTCAGGAAGAGAAAAAAGGGAAGCAATCACTAAGAATAATCACACTGCAGCAGGAATTGGATTTGCTAGAAAGGACTGTTATTGGCTGCCTGTGTGTGTGTGTGTGTGTGTGTGTGTGTGTGTGTGTGTGTGTGTGTGTG